TCCAGCAGATCTCAGAATAATTAAGTACCATTGAGGACACTAATACAGCACAGTTAGAAAATGATTTCTTCTAATCTACATAAAGAAATTGAAGAAGATGTAAACTTGATTGACTAATACTGAAAACTTAAGGTTCAGGTTGAGTATCCCTTACCAAAATATTTGAGACCAGAAATGTTTCAGATTTGGGAGTTTTTTGGATCTCTTTATATTTGCATAGGTGTTACCACTTGAGCATCCTAAATCTAAAATCCTCCAAATCTGAAACTTTTTGGATTTTGGAGCACTAAAGATTTTTACAGTTTAGATAGGGATGTTCATCCTGTATTTGTCTTAAATTGGCATGCATTTGACAAAGGGGAAGTATTAAGGCCATTAATTTATGATTAGAATTTTTAAATAAAGCCAAAATGCATATGAGTAAATACAGTGATTGGAAATTGTTGGTAATACTTTTTTTTTTTTTTTTTTTTTTTTAAAGAGAGAGTGAGAGAGGGGGACAGAGAGAGAGAGAGAATTTTAACATTTATTAATTTTTTCTTAGTTCTCGGTGGACACAACATCTTTGTTGGTATGTGGTGCTGCTGAGGATCGAACCCGGGCCGCACGCATGCTAGGCGAGCGCGCTACCGCTTGAGCCACATCCCCAGCCCCGTTGGTAATACTTGATGGGCAATAATTTATTGTCTTTAGTGAGCACTTTGTGGTCCTGTTTATAGGAGTTGATTCTTAATTTTTTTATGTTTATTTATTTATTGGTACCAGCGATAAAACCCAGGGGCACCTAACCACTGAACCACATCCCCAGCCCTTTTTTATATTTTATTTAGAGTGGAGAGGGTCTCTCTACTTTGCTTTAGGGTTTTGCTAAGTTGATGAGTCTGGCTTTGAACTTTTTTTTTTAACATTTATTTTTTAGTTAGACACAATATTTCGGCATAAAGAAGTAGACACAAAGTTTTCCTATGTATATCATTACCAGTATTTGAAATTCTTCCTTAAAGAAGGTTAGTTCATTTTAGTCAGATTGTGTTTTCTGAGCATTATTGAGCAAAGCATTTGTTATGTAAGGAGATATAGGGACAAATAAATGTAATTAATTCTACCATAAACATGTATAAAGGGAAATGACTTGATCTGTCTTGAAGGAGAGATAGAGGCTACTTAGATGAAGAGCAAAAAAACTGGAGAGCAGTGTAGTCAGAAGGAATAATTCATATAAGGGTGTGACATTGAAAAATCATGTTCTAAAAAATGCTGAGAATTGCAGTTTTTTAATATTTGAAGTTGGAAGAGCAGTTTGGAGCCAGATTGAATACCGAGTTAATGAGATTGGACTTGATCCTGTTGAAACTAGAGGAATAGTGCAAGTGTTCAATTAGGAAAGTAATGCAATAAGATTCTTATTTAGAAGAAAATTTGGGAAGCTGAGTAGAAGGGGGATTGAAGATGAGAGCCTAGGGATGGACTAATAGGGCTTACTTGAAGTTGATAGTTTGAGTAGGTAGGTTGATACAGGGAGATATTTTTAAATTGGTGCATATTAATTATACAGAATAGTGGGTTTCATTGTGGCATATTTGTACATGTACATTAACATACTTTGCTCAGTTTTATTGTTCAGTTCTTCCCCTTGCTTTTTCCTACCCACCACTTCACCTCACCCTGCTATTCTCCCTTCTATTTTCATAAGATTCCTGTTCCAAAGATTTTTTTTGGGTGGAGAAGATTGTTCAGTTTGGACTTAAGTTCTTTTTGCCTATGGTTTATCCAGATGCAGTAAGAAAGAAAACTTAAGTTTGAGTATTCATTTCTATGACTCATTCTTCAAACATGTTCTTTGTAGGTTTCTGTAATAACAAGAATGTCCTAAAATATCTTCATCTCCTCAGTGAGGTTGCATTTCATTCTTTCCCACTCTCATCAATTGCTCTTTTATTCCCTATGCTTTTCTTTAATTTTTCTTATATAGGTCCTGTCTGGATTTCTTCATCCATTCTTTTCTTTAGTGGGCAGGAGGCTGGGGATTGAACCCAGGGTGCTTTATTTTTTATTTTGAGACAAGGTCTCACTGAATTGTTCAGGGTCTGCCTAAGTTATTGACTGACTTAACTTTGAACCCAGGGATTTTTAACCACTGAGCTACATACTCAGCCCTTTTTTATTTTGAGATGGGGTCTTGCTAAATTGCTTAGGACCTCACTGAAGTTTTCGAGTGTCATTTTTTCACCCCCACCCCCACCATGCTGAGCTCTTTATCCATTCTTTTTTTGATGGGTGGGGGTACCAGGGATTGAACTCAGGAGCACTCAACACTGAGCCATATCTCCTAGCCCTATTTGTGTTTTATTTAGAGTCAGGGTATCACTGAATTGCTTAGTGCCTTATTTTTGTTGAGGCTGGCTTTGAACTCCTATCCTCTTGCCTCAGCCTCCTGCCTCAGTTTCCTGAGCCACATGCGCCACTGCGCCGGCGTCTTTATATCCATTTTTGTTATTATTTTGCCTCCCCTTTCCCTACCATCTTATCACAAATGATGTTAAATAAAAAGAAGATTGTAAAAAAAAAACTAAAATGAGTAGCTTTTAAAATATTTGGAAGATTTCTCATTTTATGGACTTAAATATCCAGAACTTTATATGTGATAACCTGTGTTCATCTTGTAAAGGCTAGTACTGGACAATATTTGTGCAGTCTTTTGTTATAATAATACTATTGAGTACCTGATTATAAAGTAACATAGGTTAAGGTTTACTTACATAGTATATGGAAGGACTTTTGTTCATATCTGATTCCCACTTACTTCTTTCACTGGGAACATAGAAACCGCAGATTAGAGCTATTCAATTGCACCTTAATTCCTAGCCATCAAATAAAATTCATTCTATATCTGGGCACATAGTAGATAATTATATCTATTAGATGAATGAATGTGCTCTTATCTTTTGGTCCCTCATCCAGCAAAGGAAAAGATGACTGCTCCATCAGCTAAACCTGTAAGTGCTCTGGATTATCATGTCCTCCTGGCTGGAAATTCATTCTCCCTCTCTAGTGAATCTTTCTCATAAGCATTTTAAAGGTTTGTCTTTCCTATTTTTAAAACCAAACACCTTTTGTCTTATGTCCCCTTCTAGCTTCCACTGCTGTGTTTCTCTTTTTTTCCTCAAACTTCATGAAAAGTTTAGGTCTATAGTTGTTGTTATTACTCTGTCACTTCTTGCTCACTAGTCATTTTCTTTATTGACTTATCTGCAGCATCTGATGTTGTGTATTTCCTGTCTTTCTTGAAACACATTCTTTCCTTTTTATTTACCATATTTTCTTGGCTGCTTCCTTCTCATCCCTTAAATGTTTGTGTTCCTTATAGCTCACCTTCTATCCTCATTCTCATAGTGCCTGAGTGATATAAACTACTGTGGATGAACTCAGTAGCATAGTGAGAATTTCCAACTGTATATCTCTAAGCATATATCTCTTTCTGTGCTCTAAACCTGTAGGACTAGTTTCTTTACTTCTGTATATCTCAAATAGTTAAAACTCAATAATCGAATTAACAACTGTCCCTCTCCACCTGGACCTTATCTAGTAGTAGTTCCTGTTTTACCATCTATTTAGTTGCCTAGGCCAAAATTCCCCCCTTGATTTTTGGAGTCTTTATTTTGGTTTTTTGAAAAAAATAGTTTAAACCTGTTTGATGCAGTTTTTTTATTGTTGATTATATGTTCTAATTTTTATTAATGTAAAGTCAGAAGTTATTTGACAGGGTTTTTTTTTGGTGGGTGGGGGAATGGTGCTGGAGTTTGAACCCAGGTCCTTAAATGCACTAAGCACATGATCTTCTATTGAGCTACATTAAAAATGTGCAGGAATTTGTTTTATCAAAGGAGGTTAATTCAGTGTTCTAAATCGTTTTTTTTAAAAATCAGTTTTCTGAGATGAAAAAAAAACTTGATTAGTTCTTACTTTCACTTACAAAATGATGTTGTATTATTACAGCATTATGTATAATAGTCATTTCTGCTGAGAAAGCAACACAGCTTCCTGCCATATCTATTCTTCAATTATTGTATGCTCATTTTGTTCCCTAGGATGGTAAAACTTCTCAAATAGAAACTGTCTCTTATTGCTATATGTCCTTCTTATAGTAATGTTGTGGGCATTATAGATCATTTTAGTAATGGTTGACTTTTTTTTTTTTTTTTTGGTACCAGGGATTGAACGCAGGGACTCTCAACCACTGAGCCACACCCCCAGCCCCCCCCCTTTTTTTTTTTTTTAAAGACAGAGTCTCGCTGAGTTGCTTAGCGCCTCACTTTTGCTAAGGCTGGCTGGCTTTGAACTCGAAATCATCCTGCCTCAGCCTCCTGAGCTGCTGGGATTACAGGTGTGTGCCACTGCGCCTGGTAGTAATGGTTGACTTTTTTTTTTTTTTTAATATTTTTTTAGTTGTAGATAACACACACAGTATCTTTATCTTTATGTGATGCTGAGGATTGAACCCAGTGCCTCACACGTGCCAGGCAGGCGCTTGACCAATAAGCTACAGCCTCAGCCCTTAATGGTTGACTTTTAAAGCTTAAGTTTGTAAGCAACAGTTTCAAGTGAATGCTGCCTTTTGCATCCCATATATTACCTACAGATAGGCAGAATAGATATAAACTGTGAGATTATAGATGTAAATTATGAGAGATTAAAGGCATTAGAATTTGTTTCAGTTTATATTGATCACTGGATTTATTGACCAATATTCTCTTAACTGAAATTTCACTCTTATTGAATTCTTTAAAAAGTAAGCTGTCCTGCTGGCTTTATTCCCATTTTTGGTTTATCTTTGCTATTTAGAATAAAATAGTTTTGAAAACAATAAGCCAGGAGGAACAAAGACTTACTTTTTTGTTTTGTTTAGTTTTTACCTAATATTCAGTTAGAGAAGTTTAGCTCTCATGCTTTCTTTCAGGGCCAGTGGGCTGCTTCTCATTTGCATTTGTTTTTTTCTTTAGATATTAGGATCAAGGAAGAAGAACCTGATCCTGAAGAGTGGCAGCTCAGTGGTGATTCTACATTGAATACCAATGATCTAACACACTTAAGAGTACAGGTGGTAGATGAAGAAGGGGACCAACAACATCAAGAAGGAAAAAGACTTCGGAGGGTAGCTTGCACCTGTCCCAACTGTAAAGAAGGCGGTGGGAGGTATGCATACATGAACCATACTCCTTATGTTTTTGTTTTTGTTTGTTTGTTTTTAAGAGTACTAATATCACCACCCCAAATTTTTAAAATATCGCATGCCATGTCACTTAATTTGGAAAATTATTCATTACATGATCATTTTTGGGTGTGTGACTGTAAAAGAGTGTGATAAATTAGAAAATAAAAATATATGAAATTGAATTTTCAGATATGAATGCCTTTAAAACTAAAATTATGTAGTTTTTTAAAAACAATGTAACAGATGTAATTTTATTGGCCCATATTAGAAATAATACTGTTAGCAAACTAGCAATGGGTTTTGCTTAAATACAGATTAAAAAAATTCTTGAGTATTGCAGTTACATAAAAATATTGTTTTTATTAGAAAATTCAGAAATATCTGATAGCACAAACATTTCCATTTTCAACAGAAATGGGAATAAATGGCCTTAATAGGGGGAATTTTTTTTTTTAGTATTTCAAGTCAGTTTTTTTTTTTAAAAACTAAATACTAAGACAATAACATGACAGGAATAAACTCAAACCATTAGTATTTGTGTCAAATGTTAAGCTTATTGACTAAGACTGTGACTCATTTTTAAACAACACCTCAAATAATTGATGTAGCAATGTTGACGATGATGCATAAATTATGCATCAAGCCAATGTTTGAGAAAGAGAAAACTTATATAGCAGTATTGTTATCAGGCAAGATGGGATTAAGGTTTAAAGTTCAAGTCGACAGACATGCATATCTTTCTTGTTAATAATATGAAGTTTCCATCAAACATTTAATATTCATAGTACTTTTTTCTATAGCTTTGAAATACATGAGCAAAAACTGGTAGAACTGTAAAGCTATACTGAACAATTTCTTGGTCATAGTGAAAGGTCTTAACACACTACTGTTAAGTACTGTTTAAGTGACAAAATATACTATAAAATAGAAGGGTGTATATAAATATATGCAGTTTATCTGACAAGATCAACTTTCTCTGCCTTTTTGGATTGGTCTTATTAGCTGATTTGTACACTGGCCAGCCCATTTGCAATATTACTACTACTGCTGTTATTACTACTACTACTAATAGCTAATATCTGCTAACATTGTGAACTTAATATATTCCAGTATATTCTTATATGTGAGCTATAGAGAAGTGGAATGACTCAAGAACAAACATAAATACTTACTCCAAAGATTTTGCCATTATACTACTATCTATAGAGTGAATCTGCTTTTGCATTACATTCTTAGGTGTTTGCATTTATTGTAATCAGTTGTTTTAAATTTATTTGTTCAAAAAAATTCTTGTTAGGCAATAACTTTTGAAATTCTCATTTTAGAGGAACTTATGAAAATCAAATCTAATTGTAGACCTAGGCCTGGCCGGTTTCATTTGTTGTTTAAAGTAAAAATCTTTTAATTAATTTCTATGTGCTAAACTAACATATTCCTAAAAATTCAGCAATATAGAATAATATTTTAAAACACCAAAATCCTAACCTACTTTAATATTAACCACTATAGCACTTTGTTATGTATCCTTTCAGATATCACATGTATTTTAAAGTAGAATCATTATCTCCTCACTGTTTTAGTTGTCTCTTCTTATTTTGAAAACTTATTTTCAAGTCTAGTTTGTATCATTTTTATGTCTGAAGTATTCTATTGCATGATGTGTAATAATTTAGTATCTTCTTTTGTTGGGGCTTGTCATAATCCTCACATAGGTCTTTGCACATTTGTCTGATTATATCATTAGTATAAATTGGCAGAACTAGAATTGCTGGGTCAAAGAATTTTCTGCTAGAAAGGCTGAATCAATTTCAACTCCCACCAGCGCTGTATTAGAATATCTGCATTTTCACATCCTGACCAACACTGGATTTTGTTATTAAATATATATATATATATTATTAGTTGTAGATGGACACAATGCCTTTATTTTATTTGTTTGTTTATATGTGGTGCTGAGGATCAAATCCAGGGCCTTGTGCAAGCAAGGCAATCGCTCTACCACTAGCCACAACCCCAGTCCCAAACACTGGATTTTAATCATATTTTTTAACCTTTTAAAGCTGACATGTGAAAATAATATCAGTATTTGTTTTACTTGGCGAGGTTGAACATTTTTTTGGTTGTTACTTTGCCATTTTAAAATTTCTTGTGAATTGTTTGTCTTTTGTGAATCTGTTAATTTGTGTATTAACTGTCATGTGCAAATATTTTTTGCCAGTTTTATATTGCCTTCAGCTTTATGTCGATAGTTTGCAGAATGCATTGTTATTTAAGTAGTTCCATCATATGGTTGACAGACTTTTTTTTAAACACAAAATTTAAATTGGTCAGTGTTTTATTAGATTCCTTGTTATCATGTGATAAAAGCCTGAGAATTATAAAAATATTCACTTACTTTTTTCTAGGACATTTTTTACTTGGTTTTAAAAAATAGCTTCCTATAAGTAATAAAAATCAAGGTTCTTAAGAAGAAAACTATATTGTCTATTAAAACTCTTTTGAACAATATACAACTAGTGTGTGTATATGTGTGTGTGTATGAGATAGGAACACTTGTATACATTGCAATTGTTGCATCTAATTAGTAGAAGCACTAACATAGTAAGTCCAAAATATTTCATAACATTCTGCAACGAAGAGAAGTGGCATGTAAGATTTTTTAAAAAATAGTATTTTGGCCCTTTTTTCCCCAATCATTTTCTTAAATTTTTTTTTAAAAGAATACGAGCAAGATGGCATTTTTTGAGAGTTAATTTCATTAATCTTTAGAGAACTGCATTTTGTTTCCCTTTTTGAGCAAGGTGTAAAAATAATAAAAACATTCATTTAGCCAATATTTATTGAGCAGAACCAACCTTGAGAAACACTAGTGGAGGAGACATCTTGATTGTAATAAAGTAAAATAGAATTCTAAAGACATTATTGTGTAGGTTTTGTATGCATTAAAGCCTTGATCCGTATTTTTTAAATTAATTTGTAAAATCTGTTTTGTCAGCATTTAGTTTGTCTTGTTTTCTCCCACCTTAACCAAGAGAAATTAGATTTATACAACTTAAAATTTTGCATTATTTATTCTGTGTCTCTATCTTGTGGTCATTAAATCACTATGCACTTACGAATAGAAACTTAAAAATTGTTAGTTTTTTAGGTTATCTAATAGGTGCTAGTGGCTATATAATAGGTATTAGTGGTATCTAATTATGTGTCAGTCAAGAAGAATTATTGTAAACTGGGCGCAATGGCACACACCTGTAATCCCAGTGGCTCAGGAGGCGGAAATAGGAGGATCATGAGTTCAAAGCCAGCCTCAGCAACTGCGAGGCTGCTAAGCAATCAGTGAGACCCTGTCTCTAAATAAAATAGAAAATAGGGCTGGGGATGTGGTTCAATGGTCAAGTGCTCCTGAGTTTAGTCACCCTCCCTCGCAAAAAGATGTGTGAATCTTTGTTGAGAAATTCACTTCAGTCCCTTTCCCTTCTGTCATAGGACATGGCAAAAATTCATATCTAGCATATTTAGATCTTAATCTTGAATCAGATACCCCCACCTTTTCTTTTTGTGGTGCTTGGGATTGAACTCAGCACTTCATACATGTCAGTCAAGTGCTCTACTGCCGAGCTACAGCCCTAGCCTCAAATTTTCTTTTGAAGTGGAAACTTGGACTTGAATGTTGAACATTTCCCTTAAATTATAGTATTTATGTATGACTGTGCTCCATTTTTTTCTTTTTTTAAAATGTGTTTTAATATTTTTCAGTTTTCGGTGGACACAACATCTTTATTTTATTTTATGTGGTGCTGAGGATCGAACCCAGCGCCCCGCGCATGCCAGGCAAGCGCGTTACCGCTTGAGCCACATCTCCAGCCCTCATTTTTTTCTTTCATAGATAGATACTGATCTCATTTTAAACAGTGAATATTTCTCTTATGATTCAATTGAAAAGTCTTTCCCTACTGATTTTTTGGTTTTTTGAGAACCCAAATTTGTTGTGTTGAGTTGTTAGATTCTTAGGCTTTGTTAGTGCTCCCGGGATAAATTTTGCTGTTTGTGAAATAACACTTTTGAGTTTATAAAAAGCACATTGATTCACCTAAGTGGTAATCTTAGAGGAGAGGCAAGAGGTCATGAATATACAAGTGAACTGAATTGGGTTGTCTGTGAAATTGCTATGGTGAACACAATACGTAAAATTGGTTTGTACACTACAAGCCACAAACATTGCTGTTTTTCTTAAGGCTATTAAGGATAAAGCAAATTTTTAAGAAGCTGAATGAAATGGAAACAATCAAACTTTGACATTGCAAGTGAGCCAGAAAAACCTTTCACTCAAGAAACCCAGCTCTTTGAAGAGAGTTGTAGAAAATGGGGGTGGACTGGAGCAGGAACTAGAATTGTGTTAGATTATGACATCCTTGCCCTTGAGACAACAGCATGACTCCTCCTTGTCTTTACTTATGCTATTCCTCTGCCTGGAATGCCTTCCCTTCTTTCTATCTAAATCCTACCCACCTCCTCCACGAAGTCTTCTCTAACTACTGGAGCCCACATTGATGTCTCCCTGTTCAGAACACCTATGGCACCTAACAGCCAGCACTGCACCGTTTAGCACTGTTTGTCCTATGGCAATTTCACATGCTACTGAGTGTGAGTACATTAAAATATAAATGTGGGGAAATATGCATTTTTCCAGTAAAATTTGAGAAACACTAGGTGTATTGTATACAGGAGGATTTATAGGATATGGAAAGTTTATAGGCTACACCTAGACTGTGAGATTGGGGGAGGAGGGCAGATGGGGGATTAAATATACTGTTAAATCTCAGAGAAACATTGCAAAGTTTATACAGTGTGATTTTGGTAATTGTTGTGTCCAAAACGTCATGTTAAAAAAAAACTACAATTTTAATAACAGCCTGATTTTTGTTGTAGTCTTTAATACTGTCCCTATAATAGTTCTAGAATCAAAAAAGTTTAGATGCCTCTGTTCACTCATCAAAGCACGTGTCTTCCAAACTCTGTTGTTGGTATCAAATACTGAAATGTAATGTCAAATTATATGACATGGAAAAGATGTTATTTTGTTATATCCCTTATGTATTATTTTGGATAGCTTTGCATAATTTATGGCAGAAATAATTTAACTGTAAAAGTAATTTTGATTTCATTGAATGATGTGAGTTAAGACCATAGCTTTAGCTAAATTTAAAAAAAATCAAAAAAGCTTTGTCCAAAGTTAACATATACAAAGTGTAGCTATTCAAATATTTTAAAAATATGCTTAAATCGAGATGATTTATTTGAATAAATATGCTTAAATCATGTTAATTTATTTCAGTCTGCTTAAACTACCTATATTCTTTTTAATCGTGCTCAGTTAAATTTGTGCATTTATATTTTGGTTTAAATATTTAAAAAATTATCTGACATGACATGACTATTTTAATAACAGTTTCCCATACAGTTAATTGAATTGGGCTTATGCCTAGTATTTGAGAATTGTTTTCGACAGACTAGTAAAGAGCTTTACTGTACATTCATGTGTATTCATAATTACATAATTCTTGAGTATATTTACATTTGGAAAGCAATCATTAATTCTGAAGTAAAGTTAACATGTAAAACATGTTTAAAATATATAAATTTTTATTTAAAGAGATAAAAATAGTTTTGATTTCTGATTTCATGTTGATAATGTCTTCTTTTTGAAACACAACATGAGGATGGATATATGATATAAATGGTAATGTCCATTTGAATACTTTCATATATAAGTGTATATTATTCTGTGTGTGTGTGTGTTTTTTTTTTTAGAGGTACCAATCTTGGGAAAAAGAAGCAACACATTTGTCATATACCAGGATGTGGTAAAGTCTATGGGAAGACCTCACATCTGAGAGCGCATCTGCGTTGGCATTCTGGAGAGTGCCCTTTTATTTGTAACTTGATTTTCTGTGGCAAAAGATTTACTCGAAGTGATGAATTACAGAGGCACAGAAGGACACATACAGGTTAATAATATTTTATATTTGATTTTTTTTTATGCGTTTGTATGTTGGGGATTGATCCAAGGACCTTGCATATACTAAACATACACTATACCCTGAGCTTTACCCCCATTCCCTCTAATATTTGTTGAATTTAATCTTGATGACTAATTATATCACAGTTTTACCTTCAGTAACACTAATATAAAAACATTAATTCCAAAGAATAAGCCAATGTGAACTATCTTATAAAACTAAGTTTTATTTTATGAAGATTTTGGTTAGCTTTTGTTGACATTGTAGAATATCTTAAGAGCCACCTATTTTGTTCATTTTAAATTGGTTACTTTTACTCTTGATCCATCTTGTTGTTCTTTCCTCCTAACACTGTAGCAAAGAGTAAACTTTTTCTTCTATTAAATTTGGGTATTTCACCATTCCTATTAGTTATTTATCTTGAGGTAAGGGAAAGACATTCCACTGAAGAATATCCAAGGCATTGTTGAGGTTGAAACTCTCCTTTGATTTTTTAAAAATTTTCTTATCGATGTATTGTAGTTATACATAATAGTAGGATTTATTATGCCATATTTGTACATGAACGTTATTTGGTTGTTTTTACATAGCATTATGTGATTGTTACATGAGGTAGACCCCAGGACTGATCCAAGCTGAAGTCTAATGTACTAATAATTTAGAGATAGTTTCCTCCTGCTACCATGTAAAAATTACATGATCAACGTATTTATGTAAGCTGGGGCTGTAGCTCATTGACAGAGTACTTGCCTAGAACGTGTGAGGCATTGGGTTCGATCCTTAGCACCACATAAAGATAAATAAAATAAAGGCATGCTGGTCATCTAAAACTTAAAAAAATTTTTTAAAGCATTCATTCATCAGTCTATGATCAACATTAAAGAATTGGAAAATAGATACTGTTATACAATTTTTAGAGAGTTTAGAAGAAAAAAGCATGGTGAAATGAAGAGCAATGTTGGATTAAGTCTGCAACATCTGGATTCCAATCTAAATTCTCTAGTAGATAAGCAAATAAACTGTCCCTGTTTCTGCTTTATGCTTTTTACTTTGGCTTTAAATACTGTATAAAACAATCAGTGAAGTATAAAGCATTACACATATTAGATATTCTACTTCTATATCTTTCATTAGGTACTAGTCAGATAAGATTAACTTGCAACAAACAGTATATGCAAATAGAAGCCAGGCCTGGTGACACACGCTTGTAATCCCAGTTTCTTTTGAGAGTGAGACAGGAGGATTTTGAGTTCACAGCCAGCCTCAGCAATTTAGTGAGACCCTGTCTCTAAATAAAATACCAAAAAGGGGGTAGGAGTAGCTGGGAATTCCCTGGTACCCCTCTGCCCAAAAAAAGGTAGATAGTGAAAAGATTTTACATTATAGTTTGTGCTATTGGATATTCTCAGAAGGAAAGATAATTATTGCTTGATATAAAGGCATCCTTGGGTAGTGAACCTTAAAACTTTTCTTTTGTGCAATTTGTTCAGTAAGTTTTAAAAGGAAATAATATAAATGGAGGGAAAAGTCTGTGATCAAATAAGTGGGTTAAAGAGGATACAAATACCTACAAGGGAGTACTTCTTAGAATTTTTAAATTGAAAGCTAAATGAACATCATATGTCTTTATGTATAAGTTTTCCCAACCTCATTTGATCATTGTGCTATTTGTTGTGGAACATCTCTAATGACCTTCAAAAAAAATATTGGGAAGTATCTTTCTAAAAAAAATGGTGGTGTGTTGATAGAAGTAAGAGCACGAGTGAAGTTTAAAGTTTTTACATAAACTATTTCTGTTATGTAGGATTGAGGCATGTTGTAGAAGGACCTGTAAAGGCAATGGAGCATCTGAACTGTTGGGTTATCTTGAAGTTACCCTTGCATTCCATATCATTTAGTACAAAGATGAAGTTTTATAGTGTAATATTTGGGAAAATGAGTCTGATGTTTTATTGGCTTGGAGAAGGTAAGACTAGGAGGTTATTGTGTTGTGTTTAATGCATTAGGGCTAATATGGACTTACCTAGAGTAAAGGTACAGAAATGAAATCTAGGTAAACCTTGTTGGGGGTGGGGGTGTACTAGAGATTGAACTCAGATGTGCTTTATCACTGAGCCACATTCCCATCCCTTTTCTTTTTTTTTTTAAATTTTAATTTTTTAGTTGTAGTTGGACACAATACCTTTATTTTATTTATTTTTATGTGGTGCTGAGGATCAAACCCAGCATCTCACAAGTGCTAGCGAGGGCTCTACCTCTGAGCCACAATCCTAGCCCTCATTTTTTAAAAATTTTTTATTTTGAGATAGGGTCTCACTAAGTTGCTTAGGGCTTCCCTAAGTGCTAAGGCCAGCCTTCAACTTGCAATCCTCTTGCCTCAGTCTCCCAAACTGCTGGGATTGCATGGTGCTGAGGATCAAACCCAGGTTCTCGTACCTGCAAGGCGAGTGCTCTGCTGCTGAGCCACAGCACTCAGCCCCACTAAAACATTTTTATTTATTTATTTTTATGTGGTGCTGAGAATCAAACCCAGGGCCTTGCATGTGCAAGGGGAGCGCTCTACCGCTGAGCCATAATCCCAAACCCCCCACTAAAACATTTTTGAAGAAAGAAATTAAGAAACTGTTTCCTAGATTTATTGATTGATTTCACTCTTGATTCCTTTTAGGTTCGCCTTTATCTTCTCTTTCAAAACCCTCTTATGCGATAGATTATTGATATAGTAGAAATTCAATCTGTCTTTTGTATTAAGTATTCTTGCTAGAAAGTAAATTTAGGCATCATTTATTAACACCTTTAAAATCTTAGTATATCAAGCTGATATTGGTTATTCCAACTGAAACCATGTCAGGTAGCCATCTCCATTATTCTTGATACTACTCAGTCTTTCTGAGCCTCAAGCTTACACATCTTTGTTTTACTTTGGAAGTGCTCAGTGTTGTTACTTGAGTTCATATTTAAGAGTTGAAAGTTTAGTATTGTGGATATGAAAAGAAGTGTGTTACATATAGATGATTGTGTTTATTAGCTGGTTTCTATTTCTTTCACCTTGATGGTTTCCAAGTTTCCAAACAAATGTTAAATAGTATTGAACCCAGGACCTTGTGCACTCTACCACTGAGTTAAGTTAAATTGCCCAGGCTGGCTTGAACTTGTGGTCTTCCTGACTCAACCTCTAACGTCACAGGGACTACAGGCTTTAACAGAGGTGTTTCAAATCAAAATATTATTATAGTTTATTAGTCTCTCATACAATATGTTTGAGGATTGCTTTTCATCCAGAAGTAAAGATGGAATTAATTTTGGAGAGATATTCAATAAGAGGAATCTTGAGGAAGCAGCTCATGAAACGAATACAATTTTAGTAGATCCCTGCTTTTCACTCTCAACTATCAGTTTTGGCTTTAAGAGAGAAGATCTGACTATTTGAGATTGAATTTTTAAAACTAAGTAACAATTTTTTTTTCCTTAACAGGTGAGAAGAAATTTGTTTGTCCAGAATGTTCAAAACGTTTTATGAGAAGTGACCACCTTGCCAAACATATTAAAACACATCAAAACAAAAAAGTTATCCACTCTAGCAGTACAGTGCTGGCCTCTGTGGAAGCTGGGCGAGATGATACTTTGATAACTGCAGGAGGAACAACACTTATCCTTGCAAATATTCAACAAGGTTCTGTTTCAGGGATAGGAACTGTTAATACTTCTGCCACCAGCAATCAGGATATCCTTACCAACACTGAAATACCTTTACAGCTTGTGACAGTTTCTGGAAATGAGACAATGGAGTAAATATTACACAAATACTTATTCATTGTGGTTATTTTTATACAGTAGTGAGAAGAATATTGTTCCTAAGTTCTTAGATATCTTTTTATTGATGTGCAAAAATTTTTGGATTGACAGTAACTTGGTTATACATGACACTGAAATGCCTTACTTTGTATGATATTCCATAGTATATTAAAAATGGTAAAATTGCATGGGTTTTGTAGGTACTTTTGGAATCTAGAAGAAATGAAATTTTACCAAGTTATATAAAGAGAAAATTGAATTTAACAATGCGAATGGTAGTCTAACCAAATGCATCAATCCTGTGTGGTTTAGTGTAAAAATGAGAACATGTTGGTATTTATCTATTGTAAGATAAAAAAAAAAGTTGGTGGGTGAAAGAAATCATGTTATGATAAAAATTTTTGTAATTTTCTTGATGACTGGAATTTTTATTATGCATAACTGACAAATCAAGTTTCCAAGCAAATGTTACATAGTGTAGGCTTTACTTAGCTTATCAATTTGTCATTTTGAAGCTAATTATTTTAATTAGGTTAACTATGTACAATATTTTAAGCATTACTCTTGTAAGATTTTGAAAACTACATTTTAACATGGAACTCTAGGGATAGTCACCTTTTAAATCCTGTTGAAAAGCCATGTTTAAGATTTAATTTGCCAAAATAATGTCTTGTTAATATTCTTTCAATAACGAAGTTGGGCAATATAACCAATGTTTAAAAAAAGTTTAAAATGTATAGGTTGAGGCATTTGGGTGCTAAGAAAATGTTATAGTGAATTAGCCCTTTTCTTGAATATTGGAGGACCAAAAAAAGAAAGAAAGAAAAATAAATAAGGTGTATTGCGTCTTAGCGGTGATTTTTATCCAATCTTGTTTCCAAAAACCATGTCTGCCAGGGCCTTAAAAGCCATCATGTAAATTACCAATAAAGTATAACATATGCAAACATAACAAAATCACTTCCATAGTGACAATACTCCAACCATATGGATATTAGTCATAGAAAACTAGACGTTTTATGATATTTTTTTAAGTTTTTTTTTTGTTTTATTTTTTTGTCTAGGTAGTCAGTCTGCACTTAAATATCAACCATTTTCCTTTTTTTTGCTTCTTCCCTTAAAATTTATATGTATCCAATACATTTAATTGAGAAACGTATGTTTTTTATTATGCTGTATTTTCTTTTTATTTTTTAATTATTGTTTATATTTTCAATTAAAAATGTACAAAATAAAGTTACATTGCTGGTCTTGTAAGAGCTATACAATTTTCCTAAATGTATACCTATAACTGCAGCAGTTCACCTATTTCAGAAATTTGGAATTCTGTTCATTTGTTATCTTTAAGACCACCTCAGATTTAAAGGCTACCTTATTGTACGTTTCAAGTGTATTATAACAGTGTGGTAGTTAATAAAACACTATTTTTTTTTCTTTTGAGTTTGTTGTATTCCTATGCATTTAAAATATTGTAGTGGTACAGGATAAGAAAATTTGTGTCTTATTTTTTAACTTAGCAATTTTCAGATGCTTGATTTTAGACACTGAAATTGTAAACAGGTATATTTATTTAAGAAGCGTTGTATAGAAAATTAAATTGGCAATTTAATTTTTCACCTAAGAATGACTTTGTTAAATACAGCTTTTGGGGGAAAAAAGTCTTATTAACCCTTAGCCTATGTGAATTCATATTAGTTTTATCAATTCCATTTGCAACCTCTCTTTTGTTTCCCCTTTAAAGCGGTACATTTTTTTAAAGAAGCACTGAACATAATTCAACTGTAATCCAGGTTTAGACACAGTTTAATAATAGTTCATTTCCAAAATAAAAGCTATCATAAGTGACGCCATGAAATTTCCTAACACTTGATTTTAATACATTGCACTAATTTTCTAAAACAACTCTTGAGTAACCAATATTTACAATAGATGGAATATTTATGAAAAATCTGCCATCAGGTATATTTTTGTGTGTACATATTTGTATATATAGAACCCAGGCAAATTATATGAACGAGGAAATAAGAGTCTGTATGTCATGTCTTAACACCAGAACTAGAGTGCAGAGTGTGAAACGTTTCCAAAGTATGGGGTCTGGAAAAGGAGCAGACATCTTGTTTCAAAAGCCAAAAGCTTTCTCAGGACTGAAGTAAAAATCTTAACTGCCATAGAGAAAGGGAAGCTTTTCTGGCTTTAATTGTTCATCTAGGTCAGAAAGTGCAGAATCCCTGAGATAGGAAGGGAATGATAGGTTTTCCCAAAGGAAGATTGTTAAAGCAGTGCATTTAAAACAACAACAATAACAAAAACTTATTTTTAGTTGTAGTTGAACACAATACCTTTATTTCATTTGTTTATCTTTATGTGGCACTGAGGATCAAACCCAGGGCCTTGTACATGCTAGGCTAGCGCTCTACCACAACCCAGGCCTATTTTGTATTTTACTTAGAGACAGAGTCTCCCTGAGATGCTTCGGCCTCACTTCAGGCCTCACTTTTTCTGTGGCTGGCTTTAGAGTCTTTTAATATTTATTTTTAGTTGTAGGAGGACACAATACCTTTATTTTATTTCTATGTGGTGCTGAGGATCAAACCCAGTGCGTCATGCATGCTAGATGAGTGTTCTACCAGATAGAACCCAGCCCATAGGGTCATTTTTTAATATTTAAGATTGTATGAAGACGATTATTCACTTTAACTGTCCCTTGAGTCAGGAGATTAAACCTTTTTAGAATGACAGACAGTTGTTTCTAAATAATAATGGAATTTTATATTATTTATAGAGCATGTGATCCAAGAATTTCCAAACATAATTTAGAGACTAAATGCAACAAAAAAAAATACTCTTGAAAAATTATTTAGTTTTTAGGTTTTGTTAGTATCCTTTATTATTGATTTTAGATTTTTTTCCTAACAAAGTAGTTTAGTCTTAAGTGATTTTAAATATTTTTCTATTTTTAAAAATTGAATATCTTCTAGATATGTAATATTTGAAGAATTATTCTAAGGTTATTTTTTTTCTATTAAAAAAGTGTTTAGTGTATATGAGTATTTAACAACTTGTAATAGTTCACTAGTGGACTATTCCTCTATGAACCAAGAGAAAATACCACTTAAGAGCATCTCATTTTCTGTAGATTGATGTTTAAGAACTTTGAAAAGTGACTCAGTTAACAAAAAATACACAAAATCTTTCAGCGAGATACACTTGTAAATAACTTTGGCCTTTGAAACAGTGAAAATGTTGAAAAATATTTTAAAACATTCAGATAAGCTGAAGCCATGTCATAGAAATAGTTCTTAACCAGTATTGTTCAAACATCAGGAAATACTGGAGAGCTTTGTCTGTAAATTCAAATGTTTGGCCTTTTTTTTTTTTTTTTTTTTTTAAAGAGAGTGAGGGAGAGAGAGAATTTCAATATTTATTTTTTATTTTTTGGCGGACACAACATCTTTGTTTGTATGGGGTGCTGAGGATCGAACCCGGGGCCACACGCATGCCAGGCGAGCGCACTACTGCTTGAGCCACATCCCCAGCCCTGGCCTCATTTTTATAAAAATTCTTTTTAGATATTCATGGCAGTAAAGTCTACTGACATACTAAGTGGAGTATGACTTACTATAATTAGGGTCACATTCTTGTTGTAGATGATGTAGTTTCACTGGTGGTGTATTCGTATATGAACATAGGAAAGTTATGTTCAATTCATTCCACTGTCATCTGTTCCCATCTCCCCTCTCTTCCCTTCATTCTCCTTTGTCTAATCAATGAACTTACACTCTCCCACCCCCCGATATTGTTAGCATTTTATGAGTAATATTCTTTAGTGTACATACACCTCATTTTTTTTTTATCCATTCATCTGTTAAAGGGCACGTAGGTTGGTTCCATAGCTTAGCTATTGTGAATTGAGCTGCTGTAAACATTGACGTGGCTGCATCACCGTAGTATGCTGATTTTAAGTCCTTTGGGTATTTGCTGAGGAATGGGATAACTGGGTCAGATGGACATTCCAGGGGCTGTTTGATCCTCAGTACCACATAAAAATAAATAAAGATATTGTGTCCATGTATAACTAAAAAAAAAAATTAAATTTCATTCCAAATTTTCTGAGGAAATCTCTTGCTTTCCATAGTGGTTGTACTAATTTTTAGCATGCAATCCTACCAGCAATGTATGAATGTGCCTTTCCCTCCCACATCCTTGCCAACATTTATTGTTACTTGTATTCTTGATAATTGCCATTCTGACCAGAGTGAGATGGAATCTCAGTGTAGTTTTAATTTGCATTTCTCCTAATTGCTAGAGATGTTGAACATTTTTCACATATTTGTTGACCATTTGTATTTCTTCTGTGAAGTTCCTGTACAGTTTCTTTGCCCATTTTTTGATTGGGTTATTTGCTTTTTTGGTGTTAGGTTCTTTGAGTTCTTTATATATCTTGGAGATTATATATTCTGCTCTATCTGAGGTGTAGGTGGCACAGATTTTCCCCCATTCTGTAGGCTCTGTCCATATTCTTGACTGTTTCATTTGCTTTGAAGAACCTTTTTAGTTTGATACCATACTATTCTTTTTTGGGGGGTAGGGGCCGCCAGGGATTGAACTCGGGGACACTTAACCACTAAGCCACATCCCGAGCCCTTTTTTGTGTTTAAATAAAACACAAGGTCTCAATGAGTTGCTTAGGGCCTAAGTTCCTGAACTCATGATCATTCTGCCTCAGCCTCCTAAGCCACTAGGATTACAGGCGTATGCCACCATGCATGGCCACTTATTAATTCTTTATTTTACTGCTTGCACTTTTGCAGTCTTGTTGAGGAAGTCGGTTCCTAAGTCGGCATGACAGAAGGTTGGCTGGCCTCATTCTTGACCTGCTGTTGGGGTGTTGTGTATATATATTTTGAAACATTTCCTCAGGTTGCTCTGGTAAAAACTCCTATGTTAGAATCACTTAAAATTGAGCAAGCATCTCTTTGGGATCTTAATTGTAATTTATTCATAATTCTGCTTCCTCAGGATATTTAAATTTTTTTATTGTATTGAGCATTGTTTGAAATTTGAGATTGTTACATAAATGATTTTGGAATAACATTTGGTTTTTAAATTAAGATGACATGTTAGTCATGCTACTTATAGACAATTTATTTTTCAGTTTAAAGTATATGAAGTTGGTAATAATTGTTTTCAGTGTAAAAGAGTTATTTCAGTATGCAGTATGTTTACAACTTAATGCCATGAATGAGTATTAAATCTTTAATTGACGAAGTATGAGACATTAGTTGGTAGCTTAGGAACAGAATTTGATATTTTAGTTAACTCACTTTTATTTAGTGTTTTAGAGACACAAAGATTCAGAAATTGGCTTCTTGCTTTGTTCTGCTAAAGTTGCATATAACCAAATATATTGTAAATATATATAATGGGCTGTAGAAAACTAAAAGGGAGAATCCTGCATGGAGAAGTCTGGGAAATGCAGGCAGAGTCACAGTTGCATGATAGGGGAATTTATGAGGGATGGGATGAAGTTGGGAGAGGGACTGTCATTGCAAGGAGTTGAGAATGTAGTATTTATATCAATTGTAAATTTTTTTGGTAGGGGGACGGGTAGGGGGAGAGCTTTTGTAGAAGAATTGAAGTCCAGAGTTTTCAAACACCATGGAATCTAGCTGAGCTAAGGACTAAACCTTCACACTGAAGGAACTGTTAAGAGAGAAGCACTCAGGGAGACCATAGTATGTATCAAGGTTGTGCTGAACATCAAGTGCAATAAAGTTAAGTTGATGAAGAGCAAGAGAAGACTGCTGGTTTAGGCAACGAAGAATTGCCTATTAATCTTTGTAAGCAGCTGAGTGGATAAAAGATTAGTTGATGACATGGTTGGAAAAAGTCTATATAGAGACAGCAGAGAACAGTATTGGTGAGAATATGGATAGGTGACTGGCCAGATCAGGAATGAGGAAAACATTTTTTTTGACAGTTGTATACTGATGAATATAGGGGAAATAAGTATAAAAATTAGAATGACAGTCCACCTAGAGGTAACTATTGTCTTTTTTCCTTTAAGTGTAGTAATTGAACTTAAAATCCATGTTTATTTGTTGTTGTAAAATAAAAACCTTTATTGTATGTATTAAAACAGTATTTAAAAACTGTAGCACCTGTAATCCCAGTGGATTGGGAGGCTGAGGCAGGAGGATCACAAGTTCAAAGCCAGCCTCAGCAACTTAGTGAGACCCTTTGTCAAAATAAAAAAATATAAGGGGCTAGGGTTATGGCTCAGTGGCAGATCACTTGCCTGGCATATGTGAGGCACTGGGTTTGGTCCTCAGCACCACATAAAAATAAATAAAGGCATTGTGTCCATCTATAACTAGAAAATTTTTTTTTAAATAAAAGGGCTGGGGATGTGCCTCAGTGATTAAGCACCCCTGGGTTCAATCTCTTTACAAAAAAAAAAAAAAAAAAATAGGGTTTTTCACTGTTTGAACTACTATTCATTCATTGATTTTCTCCTTCAAAATGAAAGGCAATCTTAATGATTGCAATGTGAAAAGGACATTTAGAATCTAAATTGATAGTGATGTCTCTGAAGTGACTGCCTCATCAGGAAGGATGGAGAAAAAAGAAAAAAAAAAAGAAAAGCACATAAAAGTGTCTTGAAGAAATTATGTCCTAATGCTACTTTAGAAGTTCTGAGAACCATCTAAAGCCCCTGCTTTAATTTTGATTGAAAGGTAAAATTTAGCATTTAATGGTTTAAGGTTGGAAAACATTAAGCTGGTGCAGCTTATTTCTCTAATGCCTAAGACTCCAATTAATACACAACAAATACAGAAAGTGTATTTAGAATACCTGTCCAATTTATGTTCCTTTTCTGAATATTATTTCCTGCTACCTTCAAGGAGGAACTTTTCAGATTGAACAAGGTGGATGGACATTGGTCAAAGTTGAGCCAATTAGATGATTTCTCCTAAGAATGTGGAATTGGGAAACAATATCTTGAGGGGTCCCATTTGGAACATGCAAGTGAGGCGGAAAGAATAAAGCAAAGACAACTTAATCCTACCTCAGAAGAAAAAGAATGACTGCTTTGATTTCTGGTAACTGCATTTTTTAGTTCCAATTTTTGTGCCTGTCTGCATTTCGTGCTCTGAGGTAATAAGAAAGCTTTGAAATTTACTGTAAGACTCCTCCACTTCATTTTTTCCTAAAAAAAACTTAGGAGGCTATATAATGCCAAGTAAACAACATCTGAAATGGTTCATTCCCATATAAAACACAATAGTTTGAAATAGTTGGTCACTTGGTCCATAGAAAATACCAAAAAGAAGCTGGGCACAATGGCACATTCCTATAATCCCAGAGGCTGAGGCAGGATGATTTCGAGTTCAAAGTGAGACTCTGGCAAATTAGTGAGGCTCGAAATAACTTAGCAAGATAGAAAAAATAGCAAAATAGAAAAAAGGGCTGGCAAAGTCGCCCAGATCTTAAGTGCCCCTGGGTTCAATTCTTGGTACCAAAAAAGAAAATACCAAAAAGAAAAGCAAGTCATGGTTAGTGCCAGATGAGTCAGCTTTAAATGAGAGAATTTAGTACAGAGCTTAGATGAATTAGAAAGGGTAAGCCTTACAGGACCAATAGAATGAAGAAAACTGATAAGGCGAGGGGCTGGGAATGGGGCTCAGTGGCAGAGCTCTAGGTGGATTTTTTTTTTTTAATATTTATTTTTTAGTTCTCCGTGGACACAACATCTTTGTTGGTATGTGGTGCTGAGGATCGAACCCGGGCCGCACGCATGCCAGGCGAGCGCGCTACCGTTTGAGCCACATCCCCAGCCCTCTAGGTGGATTTCATTCTCAGTACCACATATAAATAAATACAATAAAAAGATCCATTGACAGCTAAAAAATTTTTAAAAAGCCAATACGATTTAGAGGTCCCTCTATAGTCTTTACACCCTCTTATCAGATGGCTATATCTGTGTTTGGTCTTAAGGAATATTGACCTTCTGGCAACATTATTCTTATTATCACACTACTACCTGTACATTTTGGACTTGGAATTGGCTTGTGCCTTCCTTTCCCCCCACCCCCCACTTTTGGGTACCAGGAAATGAACACAGGGGCACTCCACCACTGAGCCACATCCCCAGCCCTCTTGTATTTTATTTAGATACAGGGTCTCACTGAGTTGCTTAGTACTTCACTGTTGCTGAGGCTGGCTTTGAACTCTCAATCCTCCTGTCTCAGCCTCCGTAGCTGCTAGGCTTACAAGTGTACACCCCTGTGCCCGGCCTATGTCTTACTTTTGATTGTGTATAACCAATTACTTAGTCCTTCCATACCTGATCATTTAAAAATTCTTAGTTTATTAATTGCATCTTCCTCATTTTTAATTCTTGATAACTTTCTATAACTTTTTTATTTTGATTTATTTAGTAAAGGTAAAGGCTTTCACAGGATAACAATGATTAAGTACACAGGATTAGGATTTATACACATTTGGACTTGTATACTGCTTACTAGCTATGTGAAAGTGGGCTCTATCTTTCCACTCTGAACCTTGGTTTTCTACTGTATAAAATAGGGATGAGGGGCTGGGGATGTGGCTCAAGTGGTAGGGCGCTCGCCTGGCATGTGTGTGGCCCGGGTTCGATCCTCAGCACCACATACAAAGATGTTGTGTCCGCCGAAAACTAAAAAATAAATAATTAGAATTCTCTCTCTTTCAAAAAAATAAATAAAATAGGGATGATATAGGGCTGGAGTTGTGACTCAGTGGTAGAGTGGTTGCCCCTCATGCATGAGGCCCTGGGTTTGATTCTCAGCACCACATATAAATAAATAAAGGTCCATCAGTAACTAATAAAAATATTATTTTTTAAAATTGATTATCAGGGACTGGGGCTATAGCTCAGTGGTAAAGCACTTACCTATGTGTGAGGCCCTGGGTTCAGTCCACATCAAAACAAAATGGGTAAGCAAAATCAATAAAAATAATAAAGTGATATCAATAGGCATAATTAAACATTAATTAAAGCAGAAACATACATGTTTTTCTCACTAGTTTCATCTTTTAATTCATTTAACCCTTGCCCTGGTATAGTGCTCTCTGTCCTGACTTCTAGGGTCTCCCCACACAGTTGGTGACCGTTTTGGATTGAATATTGTGGAGAAGGCTTAAGCCCAGCTAGTTATTGCCCATGATGTCAATTTCGTCTAAGGGCTAGGTATACAGGTTAATGCACATGGTGGGTTGGTAGGTGTGAAATAGTGATTTAAATTCTTATTTCCCTGTATTCTGGTGAGGTTGAGCATGGTTTCCTAAGTCCATAACCCATGTTTCCTCTGAAGTGAATTGCCTATCCTTTGCCTTTTTGCTTGTTTGGGTTATCTGCACTTTTGCATTGATTTTTAAACATTATAAATCAGTTCTTCACATGTTATTTTAGAAGTGTATGTTCTAGTAAAGTTTTTTCCCAGTCTGAGGTTATCTTAACTTTTTTTTTTTTTTTTTTTGGTACCAAGGATTGAACTCAGGAGCACTCAACCACTAAGCCACATCCCCAGCCCATTTTGTATTTTATTTAGAAATGATCTCACTGAGTTGCTGAGTGTCTCGCTATTGCTGAGGCCGGCTTTGAACCTGAGATCCTTCTATCTCAGCCTCATGAGCCTCTGGGATTATAGGCATGTGCCACCATGCCTGGTGAGAGACCATATTCTTAACATGATGGCTGTAAGTTCTTACTTGGTAAGAAAATCTCTGATGCCCTTGCTTCTTTAGAATGGTTTAATGGTTTTGACTGTTCTTTAGTCCTGGCTCTTTCTGTGAACTTTAAGTTATTAAGCTCCATTAAGTAATCATGTTAAGATTTTTATTGTAATTATGTTGAATTTGTAGATTAATTTGGAGGAAAAATGTCATCTTCCTATTTGTGGACCTTCTGCATCTCTTCATTTAGTCAAGTCTTCTCAACTGTTGTTGTGTTTTTTAATATTTATTTTTTAGTTTTAGGTGGACACAATATCTTTATTTTACATTTATGTGGTTCGGAGGATTGAACCCAGTGCCTCATGCATGCTAGGTGAGCACTCTACCACTGAGCCATAATCCCAGCACCTCAACTGTTGTTTTTATAAATTATTACAATCTCTTTGAAAGATCTTACATCTCCTTTCTTACATTTATTCCTATGTAACTGTTTTCATTATTGCTAGGGGAAATAGGCTTTTTAAAAATTAAATGTTTAAGTTAGTCAATGCTGGGGAATTGAATGCTATTGATTTTTGTTAACTGATTTTGTCTAGCAATCTTTTTTTTTTTTTTTTTTTTTACACTGGGGATTGAACCCAGGGATGCTCTACCACTGAATTGCATTCCAGTCCTTTTTATTTTATTTTTTATTTTGAGACAGGGTCTCACTAATTTGCCAAGGATGACCTCAAACTTGGGATCCTCCTGCCTCAGCATACTGAGTTGCTAGGATGACAGGTATGCACCACAGTGTCTGGCTTGTCTAGCAATCTCATTTCTTTACTAGATTCTAACAGTTTGTCTGTAGATTCTATAAGATTTTCAATGGAGACAGTCATATCATTAGATAAGAAAAGGTCTGTCAGCCAGGCGTGGCGGCGCACGACTGTATAATCCTAACAGCTTGGGAGGCTGAGGCAGGAGGATCACGAATTCAAAGCCAGTCTCAGCACTTAGTGAGGCACTTAGCAACTCAGGAGACCCTGTCTCTAAATACAAAATAGGGCTGGGGATGTGGCTCAGTTGGTTGAGTACCCCTGGGTTCAATCCTCAGTACCATTTAAAAAAAAAAAAGGTTTCTTCCAATTTTTGTACCTCCACTTATGAAATAACTGATTACATCAGCAGCTTAATGTTAAATAGACTTGGAGTTGAGAGGTCTGAATCTTCATTCTGTTTCTGACCTCCTGTTACTTGTCTTTTCTATATGTAACCTTATTTGGTCCTTATAACATATGGAGATAGGTGGAATAGACATTGTCTCCATTTATATAGTTCAGGCTTGGGCAAAATATTACTCAAAGCCACATAGATGGTTTGTGTGGATGCCAGATTTTCTGACTTCAAGTCCTGTCTGATTATTCCAAGTCTTCATAGAATTTATAGGATTAATGGCATTTATTCCTTCCTTCAACAAACATTTGAGTGCATGTTATATACTAGGCACTTGGGATAAAATGATGATCATGTCATCATTTTTGTCCTGAAGGTTTATAGTTAGAGGAACTGATGGCATTATGACTACAATTACCTTTCTGACTTGAAAAAAATTCAGTCTGGTTTCTCTCATTTCATGTACTTTTCCTATTATAGCAACATATTCCCTTTATTTAAAAGTTAGGAAAAGACTAGTTCCCCCCCGACCCCACCCCTTAAACATGATCCTCTAAAAGCTGCAGCATAACCCTGCTAAATGTCAACAGATGTGACATCTGGAACATCACACCCCCAAGAATGCACCAGCCTAAGTATAGGCCCTCTGGCTGCTTGGCACAGTTATATTCATGGGGGCACCTAATAAATGTTTTATGAGATTCAAAGAAAGAATATAGAGCCTTACTTGCTTGGGCACTGGTGTTGAATGTGAGGCTTGCTTGATAGGCCAAGTAAGGAAAAAAAAAAAAAAGTAGGAACAGTTGCTCATGGGGCTTATCTTTCTAGCCAAAGTCTCCTTAAGTCTACTCTAACACTAGAGACAGAGTCAACCCTGTAATAGAAGCTATAGGATATTTCTCACATCCTAGAACTTAAACTGAGGACAAGGAACAGAGGCTGAAAGAGTGAGTCATGAGGAGACCAGCTGTGTGGGGCAGTGGGGGTGGGCCTGCCAAGCTGGCTGCACACCGTTTAGGGGTTTTGTGGTACTGGTCATTAAATCACATCTACCACTGAGCTACATCCATGACCCTTTTATTTATTTATTTATTTCTTATTTTTGAGGCAAGGTTTTGCCAAGTTGCCCAGACTGCCCTTGAACTTGGGATCCTCCTACCTTAGCCTCCTGAGTTACTGGGGTTACAGGTGTACATCACCATGCCCCCAGTCATCCTCTTTTAACCTCATG